AATAAATGTTCATTAAATGAACAGACCATTCAGCAAACTAAGCATTACTCAAAGAGCTGGAAAGGCCAAAGTTAGGCACAGAATTCTTAAAAATCATGACAGAACAAATAAACAGCTATTATCTTCATTCTCAAAAGTCCATTTACAGTACATGACCACACACACACACACACACACACACACACACACAGGAAATTCTTAAATATTGATTTATAATTGAGTACAGGACTTAAGCAGTCGTAAGAAGAGCAAATGGTTAATAAATACTTAAGGAAAATAACTTCCCCAATAATATAATCAATAACACAAATTAAAATAAAATTATATTTCCCCTGTACATTTATCATATGCTTTTTAAAAAATGAAAATTTCCAAACACAGCAACAGCAGAGAACAGCTAATCCCAGCCAAAAGTAAAATTAAAACAACCATCCTAGCCCCACCAGAAAGATACAGTAAAAGATCAGGGTCATCCTGGGCTACATAGTGAGTTGGAGTCCAGCCTAAATACCAGAGATCTTGACTCAAAACAACAGCAAAACATTCTAGACAATGCCATTTGGAATCAAATAGGAATCTAAAGCAAGATAATGTCCTTATCTCTAACCCAGATATTTGGATAGAGAAACCTTACTTTCAGAAATCTTTGAATTATAGACAAAAATCAGACACAGAGATGTTCAACATAGCATTCTTTACAGGAACAAAATTTGGAGGAAATGTACAGGTTTAAAAAGTAAAGAAGTAGTAGAATTGATTAATACACATCAGGAAATTAATTATATGCCCTTCAGATGTATGTCTAGAGCACTGTTGCAGAGATGGGTAATTCTGAACATTGCAATGTTAAATGAACAAAAGTGAAATCTGATCACAGTCAGTGCATGGAAAGCAGAAATGTTCCTGTCATAGATCAAGGCAGTGCAAGTCTCGAAAGTAGGTAGAGGGCAATCAAGAACTCAAAGTCTTGGCTGAGCAGTGGTGGTGCACTGCCCATCCACTCTGGAGGCAGAGGCCATCTCTATGAGTTCAAGGCCAGTCTGTTCTATAAATCAAATTCCAGGACAGTCAGGGCTACAGAGTGGCAGCCATTTTTTGTTTGTTTTAGTTTTTTCCTTTCTAAAAATAAAAAGAATTCAAGGATATTCTTTCCTATATAAAGAGTCAAAAGATGCCTGGGCTATATGAGATATTTTTTGTTTTTATGTAACAAGATTATTTTTATAATCAGAAAAAAATGGAGATTCCATAATTTAGGATAAAATATACTCTCAAGGTTGTCATTATTATCAAGAGTAGGAGTAAAATATTAGAAAATAACATCTTAGGGAGGCAAATATTAGCAATAGCTGAAAAAAAACAGACTTGTTTTAAGAAAAATTCCATTCCCCTTAAATTAAAAATAACAGAAAGTAAGAGACAGTTCTAAATAACTTCACTGGGTCCATTTCATGCAGAATCAAATTATTAAGATTTTCTTTTCAAATTCAATATAAAATCTAGCAGGAAATCCGCAGACAGGGACTCTAACTAGTTTCAGTTCCTAAGCAACACATCCATGGAAGAAGAATGAAATGAAAAGATGGGTGTGCACTGTGCAGTGGCTCAGTGGGGAAAGAGCCTCTAGCAAGGTCCAGAGCACAATCCCCAGAACCTACATAAAAAGTCCAGGCATGGCAACTTGTGAGCCTGTAACCCCAGTGCTAGGAAGATGGACAAGAGCAGATCCCTGGGACCTCACTGGCCAATCAGGCCAGCTCTTCAGGCCAAGGAAGATATCCTATTTCAAAATATGGCCGCGTTCCTGAGGAAGGACAGTTGTCTGCTCCCTGGTGTCAACACACTCACGCCTGCCTATGCCTAAGCACACAAAGCAAAAAGGAAAACTACAAAGCATTTACATCGCTAGCACCATCTTTTACCTTGAATATAAACTAGAAATCAATGATAATTATTGGACTTTTCAGCGATCAGCCAGCAATAAATTCAACAAATCATCCATGAGGCAAAGACTAAACTTGATAGGAAGGGGGCAAGGAAAGGAGAGAGAGGAGGCCGGAGGAAGAACAAAATGATTTCTGGAGGGAGAAAAAAAAAATCCCAGCAAGCTCAGGAAGGCTCTTTTCCACACAGGCAGTCCTTCAAAAGGCTCTAAGCAAATGCAAACAACACAGAATGGTGGAAGTGCTCTGAGCTCCAGATCTGGACTTAACATCTGCACATGCTCTTTGGAGGCCACAAGGCAGCATCAACAGACACAAGCACATCCTCTGCCACCATCCGACACTGCAGCTTCACAGAATTACCTCGGAGCTCCGTCTAAATCAAGTTTTCAGGGCTAGCTATAGATTTAGTAAAAGAATGGGAAGCAAAAGTAAGAAAATTCAAGCAAACCTATTACTTTCCTTTTAAGCTCAAATATATTTCTTAAGGCTAAACATCCGAAGCAAGACACTCAGATTCCAACACTTCTCTTTATAACCTTTGCTTTGTATCTAGCTCCAGAGGGAAAATTGTGTTTACAAGAACCACGAGACACGTGAAAAGCAATAACCAAGATAAATGAAAACCGGCTGCGCTAAGTTTTAGTCAGAACTTTATTGCAAAGGACTTGGTTTTATGAGATGAAGAAAGCTACTTTTTCTCATCTCTTCTAGCATTAGTTACACTCTGAAAAACAGAACAAGAGTAAACTATCCTTTTAATGCCACCACATCATTTATAAAGAGCTTAAGGGGACAATTTGCATGGAGGCAGAGCACACTACAGAGGTTGTGTGGTGTGGCACCCAATGTCAGAAAGGAAAGGTTCAGGTTCCGGTGTTGGCCAAGTCTCCAGCACAGACTTCCACGCTTTTCCCTATCAGCCTGTGGGGTCTGTTGTGGTTGCATGTCTGCTCATTGGTGTATTGTTTCATAGTTGTAATTCAAAGTTGTTAAAAATGTAAAGCCACTTATTTATTTATTAGTTTGCTTGTTTATTATGTATACAGCGTTCTCCCTGCATGTATGCCTGCACACCAGATGAGGGCACCAGATCACACTGTAAATGGCTGTGAGTCACAATGCAGTTGCTGGGAATTGAACTCAGGACCTCTGGAAGAGCAGCCAGTACTCTTAACCTCTGAGCCATCTGCCCAGTCCTAAAGTCATTATTAAAGAAGACAATCGTGGAAAAAAAAGAAAAGTCAGAATTAAAGATCATCACTTTTATATTCTAGAAGAAAGACAGCAAAGTGCCATGTCAGAATGGTGTGGTTATTTTCATTGCATGAACTCAAGAAAGAGGAAATGGGAGTTCTGGGGGGACTCTCCATGAAGCAGGGAGGGTCAGGGCCAATGCAGGAACTCTGATGCACCCATGTTGTGTTCACTTGCCCTGAGTTCAATAGGCAGGATTTCAACACAAAAAACTGCAGCTAGACAAACTGTTCTGCATACCAGAGTCACCTGGAGATTATTTAAAGAATCCAAAAGCCCAGACAAAGCATCTCCAAAACTATTAGGTAATGATTTTTAAAATGAAATAAAGAATCAATGCTTTTGTTTTTACTTGATGCTCCCCCCAACCAAACAAATTTTCCTCATGTTGGAGACTTCCCGTAACTGTGAGCCCGGAGAATTAAAGAGAGAAACTAAAGACGGAGAGAAGTAAATAATCACCAACCCAATGCATACATCTCGCCTCTCTATACAGAAAGTCATTTCCACGCACACATACTGCAGTTTCAGAAGCTTGCTCAACAAAATGCTGAAAAGATCATTATAAAGGTACACGGCAGTGTGCTGACATGCGCTTCTTTAGGAAGGATACTGATTTGGGAGAGAGAACAGAAGGGAAAGAGTATCTTATGACAAACCCAAAACAAGCGTATGCAGACTCCAAGGTAACAAATTGGCAGTGACTAGAAAAAGATGTTTGAAGAATGACAGTTTGCTTAGCCTCCACTACCACAGTGTCTCTCTGAATAGGGCAAATGTCATTACAAACATGTATTGAGTTCAATGATGGAAAAGGAAGGAGGCAGAAGAAAACTTCCTAGACCCTGTAATTTCAACTTTAATGCAAAGACTTGGTGCAGCAAATTTTCTAATTACCCATACTATTTAAACACAGTGCAGATCTCTTCCTCACCACTCAGCATTTTCTTGCCCCTCAAACTCTTCCTCCACATCTATGCTTTTGAAAACCATGTCTGGTATATGCATCCCATTTGTATGGAGTACGACAGGCAAAGCGTTCATCGTGTGCACAGCACCACCTGTGTACTTAGCTTAAATCTACAGAAATCTTTTCTCCTTTGGAAGAGTCAGATTATTTTTATGCCATCCAAATGGGAGAATGTCCCAGATACCAGATGATGGAGCCCCTGAGAGACCATAATGTAAATGTGCTTATGAACACTACAAAAATTGGCTTCAAAGATACCTCTGGGTTTGGCAGAGCTTGCATAACTATGGGTGAACAGTGGGGCCGTGGCTACCAAGTATGGAGGATTAGGCAATGGGTACTAGGCAGGAAGTATGTTCTTAGATTTGCAATCACATGAGATTGACTCAAATCCCCTCCCAGAAAAAGCAGATGAAGAGTGGTCTATCGATTTGTGTGCCACAAAAATTGATGTGCTTCACTACTGTAGCACAGAATTAAACAAATTAGGACAACTTTGGAAGACTTAAGGTCCGGCTATGGAACACATTTTTCCCAATGCTGGCTTCTGTCACTTTGGGTCATTTCAACAACATTTATGATGGGCCAATCTTTGGCAAAGCATCCCTTAGGTAAACATTTTCTGAAGATGCAAAGTAAAGGGACCACCACACTGCAGAACAGATCTACCCAAGATTAACCTAGCAGTTCTCTTCTATCCTACATTCTTCTCCGCCTCTATCATGCGGTGAAGTCACAATACATCTGTGACAGAATAACTCCCCTGGCAACTGGTTGACATCATAAATGCCAGATTAAGACTTGGCTGCAAAGCCAGAGGAGATGATGGGCTGGGAAGAAAGAGGCTATAACTCAAACAAATCTCTTCCATAATAGCGATGTGAATACTAAACATTACTGGCCAAGTAAATTGCTTTTTGTGTAAGTATTCTCCTTTTTGAAGTTTGCCCCAGTGTGAAAGTCTCTCTGTAAGTCAGAACCTTCACATTATTTTAGTGTACTGCTCTGTATTTAATAATCTTATGCTTCAGACATTAGTCTGTTACCATGGGAATGACAGTAGCACAAATACAGGATTATGGCTATCAAGCAAGAGAAAAGAAATTATGAATAAGCCTCGTTATGTTCAATAATTAGCAGCTACATGGAAAAAAACAAAACCATGAATTTAGGTTGATGCATTTATCTCAGTGTTTGAATACAACTCTGAGTGTGTTATTGCTTTAAAATGAGATTCTATCCAACTGCCAAAAAGTCCTTGACTAGCAGTTGTTCCTCGGTAGAGCAACATAAAAGCCCATCCTGTCCATCTTTCTTAGGTCTTTCCCTGCAGAAGGCTGGTTACTAATGGGTAATACACAACATCCCAAAATGGACGCTGCTATCTTCAGGCAACATATTAGGGGGGAGGGAGAACGTCCAAGGAGAGATGTTTTCCACAGGGAGGGTCTGGACATGGAGACAAAGAATGCCAACACTAAGCACAAGGCCTCTCCCGAACCTAAGTGGGGCTAAAGAAGCCTGCCATCAGGAAAGCAAGGGTTTGGATCCACCACAAGCTGACATGAAGCTCCATGCAGCCTTTCTTTTCAGAGACTCTGATCCTCTTTGAAGGGGAACAGCAGAATATGAAAGTTTAATTTGAATCAGCACAGGATTCATTTAAAATAATAAGAGGACATTGTGATCTATGCTGTTTGCATGAATAGCTAAACAGGCATTTGTGCATTTATTATGTGGGGGCTTTATTAGCAATTTCAGGGAAGATGGACAAAATTATAGATAAAGATTCTGAGACAACCAAGCCGCTAGAGACTAGACTTAGAGAAGAGCCAGGTCACATCAGCAAGGCTTGCCTGAATGTGTGCAGACAGAAGTACATTGCTGGACTCTGGCTTCTTGTAGAATCAGCCACCTCTCTACAAAGAGCAGTCCTCATTATCCTAGCTAAATCAGGCAGCAAGAACAAAATCGTTACCACTATTAAACCAGGAAACATTCCACTAGATCAACAGCACCATGGTACTTACTGATGCCCCAAGTCCCCTCTCCCATGGGCTTTCTGCATTCTGTGGCAATGGCACAAAACATCATTGGAGGGAAGTAATTTTAGACCGTTCTATCCAAATTAACTGGTCTTGAATAGGCTCTGATTAAAATATAAAGGGCTTTTAAAATAATTTGAAATGATTCACTGGAACTAATTTGGAGATATTTTAATCTCTAAATGTGCAATGAACTGTGGTCTCCCTTGGCCTCAGCCTCTCCTCAGGCCCTTGCCATTGGGTTGGAACACACAAGCTAAAACACCGGTGCTTGTAATTTCCCAGCCTTTCACAGACTTGGGTCTCCCAACTTGGGCACAACTCGCTTCCACTTTCAAAAATCAGGCTGTGTGCATGCTTCCACTTCCCACTGAAAACTGCTCATCTGTTTATAAGGCCAGACAGCAATATGACAAGTACTTAAAGAATCACATAAGGTAAACAGTCTCAGCTTACATTCTTCACTCATTTGTGTAAACCCCATTTTCGACGAACCAAAGACATTCTTTTCCCAACATACTGTTAGAAGATAAGTCACCAATTCTTCAGAGGCCACCTGTGAAACAACATCGAAACCCTCCTGAAGTGGGCTTTTCTACTGTGGCTAGCAAGTTCAAGGACATGTTTGCTGCTTTAGAGCCACTACAGATCCCTCCACGAAATCCCTAGGCGCCTGGTTTCCAAGATTCTCAGAATCTCAGGCAAAGACACGTGATATACCAGGCATAGTCAGTCTCCATTTGCCCACACTATAGACCTCACTGGTACTAGACATCTTTAAAAAAGGATGGGGCTAGAAAGAAAGAAGGAACTAGACCTGTGTTCTGGAGCACGGGACAAGCCAAAATAGTCCCTGGATTAGTCCTCCTGGGATAGAGCAGATATCACTATATCTACTTAAAAATGGAGAAATTGAGAAAGGAAAAAGCTACAGCCAACCTTCCACATAATTAACAGTAGAAAGCTGAGTTCCCACTAATCTAGCTCCAAAATCCAAGTTCTTTTTACACTAACCTTGAGATATGGCACTCTTGTGATCAGAGAGAGACCTGCCTTTTTACTCCTATGTAGAATTTCAGAGAATGCTCTTAAGAACAAACAAAGACATGTAAAAAGAGTAACAGAAAGAGGCAAATGACTTGCAGGAAATTACCTAGGTTCCCTTTGCAGGGCAGCCCCTTGCCCACAGCAGCACAACACACATGAAGACTAAAACTTACTATGACGGTAGCAGAGACAGGGATGGAGTCTTAAACATGCATCTGTTTGACGTTGTGGTAACCAAGGGTTAGACTGTCACTTACCTAAAAGGAAGAAGAGAGAAAACACCATTATTGTAAATGTAGACAGTGACTCCTTGCAGGCATTATACCTGCTGCAGACATTAAAAGACACTTTCATAATCAGCACACCCTGATTCCAGCGGCAGAAGAAGGACTGTTTTTTCCTTTCTCCCAATTTTGCATTCTCTGTTGCTAGGTGTTTAAATTCCATTCTTTTTCTCACTTTAACCTGGAACAGCCTTTATCTTTTTAGATGAAAGAACATTTTTTAAAAATTGATGAATCCTCTGTCCAGAAAATTACACAGACACCTCTTTCCATGTAAGTTCTGTGGTTCACTGTCCTCCACAGTCTACCCATTGACCTTATGATGAACACCTGTCTGACAGGAGACCAGATGAGATTAGCTCTGAATCTACAATACAGTTCAAATTTACATCAGAACCTCATACAAACGCTAAATTCCTGAGCTGGGGAGATGGCTCTGTCAGTAAAGTATCTGCTGTATAATCAGGAAGAATCGAGCTCATAACTCTGAAACCCACATAAAGAGCTGAGCACGGCAGAGCATGACTACAGCCCAGCCTTGCAGGAGGCAGGAGAATTCCTGAAACATGTTGGGGAGCCAGAATATCAGAATCCATGAGCTTCAGTATCAGTGAGAGACTCCGTCTCAAGAAATAAACGACTGAGGAAAAACACAGGGCAGCCACCTTGAGGTTCTGTATACACAGACACATATACATAGGCATGCACACATGCACATGTATACATTCATTCACACCATGCACACACACACACACACACACACAATTAAATTCCTAAAAGCCTGTGGCATGTGTGCAAAGTCTTGCCCCTTACAAACAGAAAAGCACATTCTTTTTAAACATATGACATGGACATAAAAAGTTGACCAATACTAAGTAGTTAAAAAAAAAAAAGTCTAGAAATTGAAGAAGGAAAGTCAAGTATTCGGTCACCAACAAAAATCTGTTAGCTTTAATATTCAAAGATGAAATATATTATAAATGAATTAAGTAAAGAATTACCAGGAAAACTGGAGCAAGAATAAAAAAATTGTGGGGGTTGGGGGACACAGGGCCAGAGAAATATTACAGTGGAACTGTGGCGAGTCTTAGCAGGCCAGTGAGATGCCTCAAAGGGTAAAAGTACTGGCTGAAGGATCCTGACCATCCCCAGAACCCAGGATGGAAGGTGGGAACTGATTTAGAAAGTTTTCTGCTGACTTCCACACACACATTCTGGCACACACATATATCAGAGATACATACAATATTAAGTCATTTTTAAACATTTACTTTCATTTTTATGTGCATGAGTGTTCATCTTCATGTAAACAAATGTACCACATATACGCTAGAGCCCTGGGAGGTTAGAAGACAGCATCTGATCCCCTAGAACTGGAGTTATTGGTGGCTGGGAGTTGGGAACTGAACCCAGATCCTCTGACAGAGTAGTGAGTGTTCTTAACCACTGAACCAGCTCTCCAGTATCTATTTTTTTAATCTTTTTTTAAAGATTAAATCATATTATCGAGTTACTACAACAAGCACAATAGTACAATAGTGTGGCTTAGTTGCATTAATCAAGTGATGTAACCATGGAAAGGAACAAAAGCTCAAAAGCTAACCAATAGTACATAGAAACTTGGTATAGGATGAGAAACACCTTGCCTCAACAAAGGAAAGACAAATGATTCTCAACAAATGATTTGAAAAACTCCAAAGGCACTGGGGATAAGTTAAATTGCACTCATAGCTCACATTATGTAAGGGAACTATTGAGATTGCCATGGAACATAGCGTGGATATATATAACAAGCATTTGCCAAGATGCACTGCATCATATGTCATCAAGCAAATGCCAATTACAACAACAAGGTATCAATGCCCACCTTTAAAAATGGCTCAAATTCAAGACGCTGACAGACAGCACCAAATGTTGCTGAAAGTGTGAAGCAGCAAGGCCTCAGCCTTTGTCGGTAGGGAAGCGAAACAGACACAACTGTGGTGGCTTCCTGTAAAACTAAACATACTTCCACCCAGCAGTCCTGCTCATGTTTACCCAAAGGAGCTGGAAACTGTGTCCACACACAAACCTACGCGCAGATGTTTACCACAGTTTTTTTTCCAAAAGTAAATGAGTTTTCAAGCCATGAAGGAAAACAACTGAGTATTTGGAAAAGAATGGAGTCAACTCAAAATGGTTGTGTCTTATCATTCTGCAAAATAATAAAGAGATTGGTGGTTGCTGTGGTAAGAGGGGCAGCAGAAAGGAGAAACTAGCAGACGACAGTGGTCTTCCAGAGCAGCAGACATACTCTATGGTGTTCCAATGGTGAAACATTGCCACTACAAATTTGTGCAAACCATACAAGGTCCAAGAGTGAACTCTAAAGTAAATCATAAAAATTGAGTGGTAATTAGGTGTTGGTATGGGCTTGCCCCTTTTAGCAAACGCACAACTCTATAGGGAATGGTGTGTGTGTGTGTGTGTGTGTAGAGAAAGAGAGAGACAAAATCTTTTATTTCAATTTAGTACAATCTTTTAAAAATAAAACCCATCCCACCTCCCCACAATCTATAAAGCTCTTGAAAGAAAATGGGTGATTCTACTACAAACTGAAAATGGGAAAACACAGATTTAGCAACAAGGAAAAGAAAAATAACTTCATCTACATGATAATTCACAAAAATATGCCATCAGCTAAAGACAAATGGCATATTTACAAAAATAAATGTTTGCATCTTATCAAAGGGATAACATGTCTAACATACAGAGAGCTCCTTAACAGTAATGGAAAAGCACTCCTCCAGAAAGCACAACGGACAAAAGGTGTGGACCAAGGCGGTGGAGAAAAATATCAAAAAGAAGCCTAAAGCATGGTTAACGGAGACTCAAAAAAATTGTTTTTACTCTCATATGCTCACTTTTTTAGTAAGGCAAATTTAAAAAACTAGATTGGACCTAGTTTTGCAATTAAAAAAAAAGTATAGTCCATTTGTGAGGCTGGGCTGAGGGCATCTCTGCACATTGCTGGTAAGTAGGGACAGGGATAAAAAGCTCTCAAGGAAACCTGGTAGATCCTAGTAGAGATGAAGAGGTAGATTTGCTTATGAATATAAAAAATATAACTATAGGATTCTCCATAACATTGATAAAATTCCCACTAATAAGTATAAAAAAAGATGATGAAAATAGAAAGCCATTTGGTAAACACCACAGCCAAGAATAGATACTAACACAGCAGAGGGGAAAGAGATGGGTATACAACTTGTGATAGCCGATATTGGTTTGTCAAAGTGACCATACCTGGAATCAACTAAAACCCAACCAGGTGTGCATTCCTGAGGGAATTTCTTGATTACATCATTTGAGATGGGAAGACCTGCCCTAAACCTGGTCACAAGTTCAACATAAAAGGACACAGAAGGGTGAAGCTTCTATTTGCTCTCAACTTCATCTATCCTGTTGTTTAAGGTAAGAAACTGCTACTTCAAGATTCCAATGTAGACTTACAGCCAAGCCCCTCTCTAGGAAACTAGAGAGGACTCTAGCACTAGATTGGGACTGCTGAGACATTGATAGAGTCAACAACTATGACATCTTCATCAGGAGACACTCATTGCTGGACTACTTGGACCACAGCCTGTGAGTCACTCTAATCCTCTTTCAGCTCTCTCTCTCTCTCTCTCTCTTTCTCTCTCTCTCTCTCTCTCTCTCTCTCTCTCTCTCTCTCAGCAGTCCTTTCTTGAGAGAACCCTGACTAATATACTACTGAAGCCAAGAGACTGAAGGACCATCATCAACCAGAGAACCAATAGGCACTGCAGACCAAATTCTTCACGACACACCAAGGACATTCTCATGTTTACTTAAACAAATGCATAACACATCTACCCATAAGAAGACATCAGAAAAAAAATGTGGACATTCTTAAAAATATCTAGCTAGCTGTCTTTGATAACATCAAACTAATAAAGACAAAGGACAGACTAGAAAGGGTCACAAATTGGTAAATGGGACAAAACAAAGTCAATGAAATATGTTCTCCTAGCCCAGAGAAACACAGGTAATTAGGGGGACAACTTATAAAATTTGAATAGTCTCAAAATAAGACAATAGTGTTGAATCACGGTTCATACTTTGTCTGTAGCCATATATAATAACATCTGGACAATCTGGATGATCAATCTATGGTCAGGTTTAGTATTATTTTAAAAACCTTTTCCTGGTTAATCCTAAAATTAGTTTTTTAGAGTTAAATTGTTTTTCTTTTTTTATTTCTTTCTTTTTTTTAACTTTATTTCTTTTTTGATACTGGATCTCACTATGTAGCCCAGGCTGGTCTGGAACTCACTATAGACCAGGCTGGCTGGGATTCCAGGCCAGAACCACCAAATTTCTCTAGTATGTCTTAAAAAAAAAATGTTTAAGGCAGAAAAGGAAAAAAGGGAGGGAGGGAGGGAGAGAGAGAGAGAGGGAAGGTGGAATGAGGTTTTTCTTAGTATAGCACTATGACAACAGAAATCATAAGAGGGAGAAAGGAGAGGGAATGAGGCTTATTATATCATAAACATGTCTAATGAGCTAACTCAAAGCAAAAGGTAAAAATTCTGAGGTTTCCTGAAGACAAAAGCACAGAAAGGACATTTTGATGACCTTGGGAGGAAGGGACTTTGAAAGACTGAATTTGCCTGCATTAAAATTAAAAACTTTTGCTCAACAAAAGATAGCATAAACAGGATAAAAGACAAGTCACAGACTTGAAATGCATATAAGTAACAAAAGGTTAGCATGCGGAACATAAAGAGCTTCTACACATCAAAAGGAATGACAAGACAGGAACCCAGAAGAGGAATCTGATAAAGCAACTAACAGAAGAGAAAATCCAAATGGCCAATAAGTGTGCAATGAACTGGGCCTCACAAGTGAGAGAAATATCTACCAAACAGGGGGATATTTTCACTACTATCAAATTAATAACCCAGGCAATACCAGTATGGAGAAAGCAGGGAAAATGGGAGTCTCACAAAGAGCCTAGGAGACTAGCCAGGAGCATAACGCAACTGGTCATGTTACCCAATAAAACCAAGGGTGTCCAAAGCAATCCACATCTAGGTATTGCTCACCAGAAAATCTTGCACATTCAAAAAGAGAAGACGTACAGGACCACATGTATCATGTTATCCTTTTCACTGAAGATAGACTCAAAATCTAGAAATGACCTAGCAGTACAAATAAAAAGGCCACAATCACAGAACAGAAAAATATGTCGCAGTGAAAATTAAAAATCATAATGCATCAAGATGAATATCACACAAATGAGTGAAAGCTGCAAAGCAAATTGAAAACTAGAGCAGCATGATAGCATTTTAGTGCACATGAAGAATGCATTCCACCGTTAAGTTACACCCATAGTCTAGACGAAGTATCTATAACACTGTTGAATATTTTATTTAAAACATGAAAAACTATACCACCTGTATAAACATATAAATGCTTAAAAGAAAATGACTAGAGATTTGAAAGATGGTTCAGAGGTTAAGAGTACTGGCTGCTCTTGCAGAGGATCCAAGTTCAGTTCCCAGCACCTACTTCAGGGAGTGCATGACCACCTGCAACACCACCTCCAGGGGCTCCTAAGCCTTCTGACAGGGATCCACACTCATGTGTATATACCTACACAGACACAGACCCACATACATTCGTATAATTAAAAATAAATCTTTTCTCTTTTTAAGAAAATGATTAAAATTGACACAGGGTTGATAAGCCCTAAGTTGAAGATTATCGGGCTATGAATAGTGGTAGGGAGCTTGTCTCAAATGTGTGCAGTTCTGGGTGTGATCCCCAGTAACACAACACACAGTTTGACCCTAGAAAAGAGGATGAAGAAGAAGGCAAGCGAAGAGACAAACCAAGTGTTACAGCATGGCAAAGCTAGGAGCAGTAGAGCATCTCTTCACTGCTGTAGATGAGCTTCTCTACGAACCTGAGACACATTTCAGAAATGACCTACATCAGATACAGTGCCCTAAACTAAACAACTCCTCAGCTAGTTTCTAATTGGATAGGGTTTTTCTTTCTTTCAGTTTTCCTGTTAGATTTTCTTCTGCAATCATAAAGAGTATCTTTAGATCCCCTACTCTAAAATAGAACTTCCTCTTTCTTTCCTTCAAAACAGTACTTCCTCCCTCACTGTTCACATATTCAGCCCGTTCCATAAGAATTCCTACTTGAGAAGATATGTACTCAAATCGTAGAGAGTGTGCTAGATATCAGAATATGTTGATAATGTTAAATTTTAAAGATGTTTATTTTTAAAAACAAAACAGTAATAACAAAACCTAGATAATTGACAGTGTACTTGAGGGATCCTAAGTATAACCAAATAAAATCTAATTTCCCATGATAAATATCAACAGACATCATGTGCAAGTCGTATTTTGGGTGGTACCAAATATGAAATGTCCTCTGTGGTGGAGAAACTACTGTAAAAACAGTAATAATAAAGTCAAAATCGAATACTCCTGGGTATATACGTAAGGAAGGTACTTTACTGCACAGAATTAGAACAGCTGTAGCTAACTGTTGGATTTCACAGTGAACAAGTGCAATGATTTCCCACCTGAAAGGTCAACAGTAGCCATGGACATGCCACGAAGGTTCGAGTACAGGCTATGAAGACCACACTCACAGCCCTTGTCCCAAACAAAGTGGTAGTGGTCAACACTTGCATGAGTGATCGGTGCTGGGGACCTTCATCGACTTTTCCTCAAGTATTAATTCCATAAGGCTGAAAAAACTTAGTTCTCTGGAGCTGTCTTAGTGAAGAGGTTGTATTGCTGTTAAGAGACACCATGGCCACAGCAACTCTTATAAAGGAAAACATTTCACTGGGGCTGGCTTACAGTTCAGAGATTTAGACCACTGTCACCATGGCAGGAAGCATGGCAGTACACAGGCAGACAGGGCGCTGGAGAGGTAGCTAAGAATTCGACATCTGGATCGGTAGGCAACAGATAGAGAGAGTGATCTATTGGGCCTTGCTTGAGTTTCTGAAACCTTAAGTCCACTCCCAGAGACACATCTCCTCCAACAAGGCCATACCTACCCCAACAAGGCCAAGTGTCCCAATTCTTTCAAATAATGCCACTCCCTATAAGCATATTTGGGAAGGAGGAACATTTTAATTCAAACCGCCAAAGGCTCCCTAACCTTGGCTCTTAGTCTTCAGGATGAAGAGTAGACACACTGAGAGTGGAAAGGAGGGGCGGGGAGCACCAGGCCCATGAGTAGCATGTCGATATAAAAGGGCTGGGCTGACTTTATGGAACTCATGGCACGGCCCAACAGGCACCCAGTAAGCTGACCTTCTACATCCGGAAGGTTCTAAAGCTCCTCAGGGAGCCAAAAGAGCAACTAGTTTCACACTGAACTCCGAAATGGACCAATGTCACCTAAGAACCGTGCATTAGCTGTGGTGTACTGACGAGAGGTAAGCCAGTGTAAACGCTGAAAAGCACCTTAATTATCAAAGTTCTAAAAAGTGGTCCCTGTCCTGTGGGCTCCAAAACCGAACAAGTTCCAGCTCTAAACAAACTGTAAAACAAGACCCTTTTTTAAAAAAATATAAAATCTCAAATGAGGTGGTAATGTTGACACTGGCAACAGCTTAGGAAGAAGACAGGCAGTTTACATGAGAATGGAAAGGAATGAATGCTGTCTTCCTTTGGGGAAAATATCCCATGTGCTAGCTTTCCTCTGGCTTTAAAATTAAAAAAAAGTGTCAATTTTAACTCTTCAAACAACAATTTTTCCTTCTGACACACAGCTCACTTCTGCAGCCTGCAGTTAGCTGGCTGGCCCCATCAGTTAAAATCCCTGTACGATCCAAGATCTGGGACCGAAACCAAATGGAATAAATCAATGAAGTCCTGGTTTTCCATGGCACTGTGCAGGCTAGCACTCTTGGAAGATACGGGGTGGCCAAAAGCTGTGGGGACGTTCACAATCATATTGGTAAGTGATCTAAAGTCACTGGACACAGGAAGGAGACGTCCAACGATGTTCCTGAGAAATGCCATTTAATCCTCCTTTTACTGTGGCGCACTACATGCCAAAGGTTCGACAGTGTTCCTACTACTAGCACTTTTTCGTAATCAACTCTACTCCAGGAAGAAAAAAAAACCTGTTATAAAAGATACCAATGGAAGCTGGGAGAAGGAAAAGATGTAGGCCAGCAAATACTTATTCCAACAGAAAAGTTACATTTGATATTGTTCCATAAAGAGAATATTGACAGGAAAACTCAAGATTTTTGGCTACTAAAATGAAATTATTTTAGCCTTAATCCGGCAATGAGAACCAAACTCAAAGCCCACAAAATGGGTAACGCCAAAACGAACTGTATGATGCCATACAGCATCAGTCCAAAGAGGTCAACGCAGCATCCTGAACCGCATAAAGTCCACTTAGATGAACAATGAGCTTTAAATCCTCATCTAGTGGGAAGCATACAGGAACACACCTGTGTGGACTTCAATAGCTAGATAAGGAGGAAGAGGCTAGGTGCCAACCTCATCAACAAGCCAAGAATAAAATAAAGCAAAATCCCACTTCAATTTTTGCAAAAACACTGATATTTT